TTTTTATCTTTTAATAAAGCTTGTTGGTTGGTGTATTTCTTTGAGTAAGGTGCTTGTTAAATATTTTTAAAAAATTAAAAAAAAACAGTAGTCAGCAAATGGGTCGATAGGAGGAGGAGAGCAGGATAAAAAAAAAAAAAAAAAAAAAAGAGAGGTCAAGGGGGGCTTCCAAGTAAGAAAAGCAGCGAGTAAGATGGAGGTCAATAGCAAGATAAAAAAAACTGGACAGAAAGAAAAAATTAAACGTACTTTCAACCTTATGTTTAGAGGACATTATCAAGGAGTGAAGTAGAGGGTTGAAAAATATGGGGGAGTCAATCAAGAGAGAAGAGGGAAATGAAACAAGAGAGATGATATTGATTAGTCTTTTCTATTATGAATTCTGTTGCATAAGAGAAAAAAGGTTAAAACTGAAATGGAAAAATGTTTAAAGACTAGGAAATATTTCTAAGTGAATGGAATGAAAAAAAAACATTTATTAGTTTGTAACATAAGCCTTCTGGGAAACAACAGTAAAACAAACAGGTTGCAAATAAAAAGAATACTCCCCCTTCTCTGTAAGGTTTACCCACCCCATTCACTTGTGTTAACTGAATATCTGTCATGGAAATAAAACCGGGGAGACACACACATGATAGCAAAAAGCTGATATATAGTGACTATATAGTCTATCGCTATTTATAATTTAAAGGTTATAAAGTAGGTACCTCTCAAAGAAACGCAATAACTGATGTTCAAAATGACTTAAGAAATGAAAAATGTTTGTTGAAGCTATTATTTTAGTTTTAATTTCAAGCTATTTAATTTCCAATAAGCAAAATACTTTACTCTATTTCAAAATTAATTAAAAAAAAAAAAAGTCATGAAATGATTTCACACAGGGTTTCTTGCCTGCAATGTCTATTTTTGACCTTCAGAATTTCATTGATTCAATTTCAACATCTTATGTTAAGTTTTAAATGCACTTCTGCAAAGGTTGAAAAAGAAGTTTTGTCACCGATCCCTGTAGGAAAAAAAAAAAAAAAAAAAAAAATGAATTTTTATTGGGATACTGGACAATGTACTTTTTTAACTTTTTAAATTAGGGGAAAATACAGTGACTAGTAGTAGTGTTCATCTTTTATAAAAAAAAATATATCTGGCTATAACAAAGAGAATAAGACGTTCTTTTAAGAAAACAGACAAAAAGTCATTTGCTTTTGTTTTGTTTTTTTTCAAATCAGAAGTCATGTTTGAATTACAGTGTAACCTGGATATAAGAGAGTTGTCGGGACCGGAGAAGAAGTCTCATATCCGGGTTACACTGTACAACACAAAAATATCACCATATTTATTTCACATGTAAATTATAAAAAAAAAAAAGTCATAAATGATAGCAACGGTACTAAATACGGGTTGAAGCTGCCTCCCACTCCATATTGTAGATAATTTTTAAAACTTTCTTAAATCGTACCACAAAACAAATATCCATCATGTGGCTGGTTCTTTTCAAGGTTGACAATGCTGTATTTTTTTTTTTTTTTTTAACTGCCACTATTCGCAGGTCTGCCCTATTATTGACCTAATCTCTGCCAACCACGAGGATTTTTTTTGTCAAGACAAAGTATAAAGCTCTAGCTAGAAGGGGTATGGATTTTTTCTTTCCTCAAGGGCAAAAGTAACGGAAAGGGGGGGGTTGGGACATTCACTGCAATTCGAACTCGATATGCCGATTCCATGCTATTCGTATTCAGTCAACTAAAACACCAGAAGTTATTTTCGGCTTTTCTACGGCACATTTAACAATAGTCATATATGCCTAACCTCACAAGTTGCAAAAAGATTTCCGACTTTAGTTGATCATTGGACTATCAGATCCTCCATTTAAGTTTTTTTTTTCTTATGGAGTAACAAACTAAGTCATCTACAGACAATTTAGCTTTATTTTCAATCTCTAAGCAGAGTAGACAATTTTTTTCTATCAAAACAAGACAGATGCTTTTTTTTTTTTCCTTGCTAGCAGTTTAAAAAAAAATAAATTCAACAGCAAATGACAGATTTGTCTACGTCTGACAATTTCATGAATAGAATAAAAATAATATACATGTTATTTTTTCCTTTCTCTCCACGTGGTGCAGTTTTTGTTCCGATGGCAGGAGCAAAGGGTTTTAAAAATGAATTGATATTTGACAACGACAAAGTAAAGATCTTTCAAACACATTTTTTTCTATAACAGACACTTGCAATTAAACGAAGCAGTAAACAAAAGAAAAAAAAAAAAAACTAACACCTTTTAGAGAGAGAGAGAGAGAGACTAGTAGTAACTAGTCGCTCTCTACTCAACTGTGACTAGGGCTTTCTTGTTCATTCATTTAGAACCAAACAGAAAATAGAAAAGGCGGGGGACATTTTTTCCACATATCTGAATATGCTACAACACGACTGTAAAGAGGTTTTTGTTTTAAAAATTTTTTAGCACATTAATATTAGGATGCGGCTTCAACACCGCAAAATATGGCACTTTTGGTGACTTTTAGTTTTGTTTACTATTCCTAGTAAAACGCAGTGATACGCCATGTAATTTCCTTTACATGGATTTTATTTTCATTTAAACACTCTCAGTGGCAATTCAATGAATATTAATTGAAATAAAAATTGAAGTATTTTCTTTTCCCCTTTGTAGTTTTTCTGATGAAGGGTTTTTTTTTTTTAAATTCTCGGAAAAAAAAAATTAAAAGCTTCTCCACCTAATTTTATGAAAAACCCTGTTTGAATGTTAGGTCAGTTTTTTAAGAAGTCAAAAAATAAATTATGAATCAAAGATTAACGAAATTTAAAAAAAAAAAAAAAAAAAAAAAAAGTTTTCTTCTTTCCCTTATTTTTAAACGGTTCGGATTAAAATAATTTTTTAAAAGCTATCTTTATTCTTTTAATAGTCAAACTTTGAGATTTTGTTAAAAAGTTTATTCCTCTAGGTACACAAAAAAGTCTAATAAATACAATTTTTGCCATAAATACATCCTCATTAAATTTAATAAACAATATTTTTTTACAATACAAACTTTAATGATCTTTATTTTTCATGTGTTTATAGTTATTTTTAAAAATTAAATCAAATCAATTTAAATTTTAACTTAAATGAGTGGGCGTGGCAACGTAAACAAAAAAAACAAACATTAATTTATGTACGTTTTTTTTTGCTTATTTCAACATCTTTGTTCATTTTCTTATCCTAGGGCAATTTTAACAAAATTCATCGATTTTTTAATTTATGCTATAATTGAGTAATTACTTACGATTTTATTTTTATACCCAAAGTTTTAGAAAACTCTCAGAAAAATAAACATTAATTAATTTTTCACTTTAAAAGTTGAGCATTTAAAAAAGAAAATAAATTTCAGAAAAATCAATCACGTGAGCCTTAATTCCCGCCCACTTCAAACGAATAGTTCGGGAAATGAGAGTCCCATGTCAAGAATTTATAATTTAAAAAGAAAAAGAGAAGTATTAAATATTTTAAATTATTAAAAAAAAAAAATACTCATGACAATTTATATAGAATTTGAAATTTCCCATAGCAATTTTTAAAAAGTTACCTCCAAATAAAAAAAAAAACAAAAAAAAAAAAAAACTTATTTTTTATTTAAAAAAAAGTTAGAGAATTTTAAAGCCATATCATCAATAAAATCACTAAAAACCAGAAATAGTTTGAGTTTTCAAGTTTAAAAAATGATGAGGATGGATTTCCCACCTTAACAGAACTAACGGTAAAAAAAAAAAAAAAAAAAAGTCCTATAGAAATATTCCCCTTTTGTAAGTAATTGTCGTGGTTTTTAAAGGACGACAACAACAACAACAAAAAAATACTCTTTCTTGAAACTTATGTCAAAAAGTGATAGGATTTATTTTTAAAATAAGTCAAATTATCAAAACAATGTAAAATTAAAGTCATTTTTTTCGGATTAAAAGAAATATGAAAATAATTTTAAAAATTTAAGATTCACACGGATTTACAATACATACAGACTGCAGTACTGTAAAATCCGAGGATTTTAAAAATAAAATGAATTATTTTGTTTGTCTGAATTCAAATAGTTATTGACATTTAAATGCTTTTTTCCTTTCTTGGTTGTTGCAGTTTTTATATTAAAAAATATATACACTCGGAAAATACACTCGGATTGAATGATAATTGTGAAAAACTTGTTGTTCTCGGCTCAAAGATCCTAACTTTACTAAGCCAGGATTAAAGATTTTATTAACAATAAAGAAATAAAGCAATGAAAGAAAAACGTGGGTGTTAATAATAATGGATGAATTATACTTCCAATAACAAATGAATTAAAAAATAATAACGGGTAGGTTTCAGAAGATTTATCATATGGAAACTCATTTTAAAATTTAAATTAATATAAAATTCCGCGAATTCATGTTTTTAATTATAAAGGAAGGAAGCACAAATAAAAACTCTTAATAAAGACGATCGTGATTAATTTGTCTGAAAAGAAAATATATTTTAAATAAAATAAAGTACACAAAAATAAATATTAATTAACTGAAAAGGACCGGTGATTATTTTAGATTTTATTAGCTTTTGGTACGGTTCTTTGAATATTTTTTTTTAATCTATGGACCGAATAAAAGATAAGAAGCAAAACCAAAACTAATAAAAAATCTACTATAAATTTCAAAATCATTGACATTCCGTCTAGTAATTTATTAATCCCATTCATACAACATTATTCGAAAGAAACCGATTGTGATAATTTATTTGAGATGAGAAAAATAATCCTTATGTCCAACAAAACAAAATTAAAGAAAAAAAATGCACTCCCCAAAAAATTAACAATACCAAAAGGACTCATTGATTTGAAATAAATAAAAAAAAAAGAAAAAAAATATTTGTATTGTATTTTTGATGAAATAAAAAAGCCTGGAAAATTTATGAACAATACGAGAAGATTGACAGTTGGAAATTCTCATGTTATTAATTATTATTATTCATTTGATTTTCTTCTCACCTGACAACGGCAAACAACCTCAGCCGACTGGGCCAGCATGTCGACTACTTTGCCTTTGCCTTCGTCTCCCCATTGCGTCCCAACAACAACGGTAACAACCTCAGTACTGGACATTTTGGCTCTCTTCGTCTGACAATTTACTTCTCCATTCAAATTATCCGACGGTGCACTGCCGTTACTCTCCGTAATAGAGTGACTAACGTTGACTCCGCTTGAGTTCACCTTGCCGCCTTCTGTCGCCATTGCCTGTTTACACGTAGTACGCATGCGCAGCGAGTTGAGCGCGAAATCGGGCGGAGTGGGAGAAGCTCCCCCCCCCCTCTCGTTAAACATGTTCTGACGGGCTGGAAACAGTTAGAGACTTAGAACTTAAACGTGATTTAATTCGGACTTAAGAAAGAATAGTCTTTCTTGATCATTCCCATAACTTTTATATATATTTACGTACATCACCAGTAAATGTTCAGAAGAACTGATTTTTTAAAAAATAAAGTAGAGACTTAGTTTTATTTTACTGTGGGACTGAAAAACACGTGGAAAATACAAGCAACAAGCTTTTTTAATTTACACTGTTATTACGCTTCAAAATCGATGAAATAAAAAAATGAAAGGGAAAGCTCAACTACACACCACATTTTTTAGAAAATTAGCCAGTTTTCTTCTGTTTTTTCTTAAATAAAGAAAAAACATTTTTATTGTTTCATATAGAAGGTACAATAAAAAAAAGGTATTTTTTAGTGCGCCTACGTCACAAGTGAATGTATTAACTGACACAAGGTCAGTTTACTTTTTAAAAGTATGTTTACCAGCCATACTGTGGAAAAATTACTCAAGCCTTCCTCTTCTGGGGACGCCTTACTCGCCAGGAAATTACGCGTGCCCTCTTCCGAAAGAGAGATACTGCCTTGAGCTTGAGCTGAGATTATTTTGTTTGAAGTTATCCAGACGAAGCCAGATAAGTATGGACACTAAGGTTAAACACCAAGCGGCGACAGTCTGTTTCATATTTCAACGCAATTTTCAGGCTATATTTACAATACATACCCTCTATCTCTGATAGAGCACTTTTACCCATCATAGCTTAAAATAAAATTATATTTTATCATATATAATAGCAATAATTTTTTTGCATACACACCCTAATTTATTCCACTACTGACAGTTTCATGTGTTGGACACAATCTTCAGGCAATGGTGACGAACAGAGAACATTTTTATGTTGAGAATTATTACATTTTATTGACACAAATTTTTTGTACATGTTTGTTTTTCTATAAAATTTGTGTAGTGTCTAAAAATACTTAGATATATGATTATATTAATTAAAGAAAAGATAACTTGAGAAGATATATATCCCAAGATTCAGTAAAGGGTATTTACTCAAGCCTAACAGTAAGTTTAACCCAAGGTGTAGCGTTATGGATATATCGGAAAAAACAGAGAAAGAATTTCATTTATGTTTGGTAAATTATTTTTAGTGCCACATCTATTCAGGATGTAGGTAATTATGGCTCTCTACATATTCCTTTTCTTTACAATCTGGTAATTGTCATGATTTCTTGGGAAAGACAATGTTATGGTTTCCTAATTAACACTTCCAGTTTTGAATTCAGTGTTTTTCACTGACTGCCACCCAAAACTAGAGATCCCAGTCTACCTGGCTATTTAAATCGTAACAGTAAGATGAGAATAAATAGATCCATGCCTGGATGCAAAGTGAATGCAACAGATTAGGCTGGAATTTGAACTTGTAGGGGAAAGTTTGGTGGTTACCATTTATTTAATGTTTGTTGATGGCCCAAATCAATCCATACAATTTTTTACTCTACGAATATGTTAAGCAAAATGCAAAAACAAGAAGAAAAAACAAGAAACATTTTTTGATAAAAGACAAAAGGCAAATATTTGAATAACAAGTAATTTTCAATATATTTTTCTAATGAAAATATTTTACAAAAATGTGGATTTTTTTAGGTGAAATCTTGTTAGTTTAATTTATGTTGAACTCAAGTTTGGTGAAAGATTAAAATTTGTTAATGAGTTCTGATTTGAAAGGATGTTTGTTAAAACCTGTTATTGAAGATTCTGTAAATTAATTGCAAGAGAAAAATTTACATTTAAGAATTTACTGTTCATGTAAGTAGCAAATGTTTGTAAAGTTGAATGCAATTTTGTGATCAAAAAAGTTATCTACCTTTGATTGTTTTCGGTAATACAATGTTCTCGAATATTGAGAAATAAAGTTGATTTGTTAGCAGGAATTTGTTTAACTTCTGCGTAAAGAATTTGGTGAGTGAATGGGAATAGAGTTCACTGATAAGTTTTAGTGAGTGAGTGTGAATATCGTTAAGTTTTGTATAATGTTCATATGAACGAAAACTTGTGTGAAGTTTAGTTGCAATTCATTTCATGTCACAATGCACACTGGAGAGTGTGAATGAGTTTCTGTTTTTATTTGCTTCAGATGGCTTACAGAGACTTGGCGCAAGCTTAGATTTCAATCAGGAGCTGTAAAAATTAGTTAAGTGTGAGTGGATAGTCACACCTCCTTGTATATTTATTAACCAATGAGGACTCAAGACATTTTTGAAAGTGTTCTGCGATCCACTTTTTGCACAGATTTGACTAAACTATTTTTGGGTATTGGAATAATGTAGAATTTGGGTTCTACAAACTTTTTTCACCAATTCTACTTTCTGCACTGGTAGCCACTACACTACCAGCAGACCTCTTTGGTAAATACTATACTGAGATATGATTTTGTGGTGAGTACGAATAATAATAACTCCCTTTACTCACTCCTTTCAAACTCGAGCGAGCTGAGGAAAAAGATAGAAGGAAATTTTTCTTGGACCAATGAAAACTTTGAATTCACAGGTGAGCTAAGAAAAAAATGAAAGCAAAATCGTGAGCCCTATGTGAAATTTTCTTTGGACCAATGAAAACCTAGTTTTCACAGGAATTAGCCGTTGAACCTAGAAAATAAAGTAAATAGCAAGCCTATGCAAAATCCTTTTTTATATGAATTAAGGAAAAAAATTAAATCAACTCAAAAAGAGTAATTGAAGCCATATGTAAAGTTTAATTTCTGTTCATGCGTCCTGCATTCAGATTTTCATCAGTGTCAAATTACTCACTAATTATATTACTGGCCTTAAACAAAAACTTCGCACTTCAAAGAACTTTATTTCAACAATCCAAGAAAGCTAAGTATTTCAAACTATCTCTCTTCATCTACTTTTGAACTTATGCAAACCATACATCTCTTCTGTGAACAACAAACGCTCTTACTGTTGTTTTAATATTTTTTAATATTATTTTATGTTAGATCATTTGATCCATTGTATGAATATTTCCTCTTCATGACAATTTGTTAAAACTACGGACTCTCAAAATTTCTGATTTATTTTCCTGAAAAAAGCTACTGAGACAACTTCAAGTATTTAAATTTGTAAATAAATTCCTTATTTTCTTTTGTTAAAATTACACATTATTATCCTTCTCCACAAATCTTCTTGGCATAGATAAACCAACTGTTCATTTTAGCCCCAAAGCCTCACACCACTATATTTTTATTACTTTAAGCATTATATTTTGTGGATATATATATGTAGCGGACCCCCCTGGAAGTGGGGGGGGGCGATATGAAAGCATGGCCCGAGCGCCCCCGAATTGTAAGCGATGAGGTCACAAGAGGCCCGTTAACGTTTTTCATATTAAAGATGTGAGATCTGATGAGGTAAAACAAAATGGACAACAGAATGAGGATATGTAATTATTACAGGAGGTTTCAATATTAGACTCAACCAGCAGACACACAACACCAGCACCGGATATTCAATATGCCCAACAACATCACAGTGCCAGCTCCTCGTTCCTTCCCAACTCATCCAGTTGGAAACCAGACCAGCCGACCAGCAGCGATCATCTGTGACGACCAGCAGCGATCATCTGTGACGACCAGCAGCGATCAGCTGCGACGATCAACCAACCTTCCCCATATACTATTGGTTGTAATTACTAGGGAGGTTTCGACACTGACCTCGACCAGCAATGCCTGCACTGCAACGTCCAACTGTCGACACGATCTGAACATCAGCACCTCAAATCCAACCGTCGACACAACCGGAATGTCTGCACCTCAACTCCAACCCTCAACACACCTGGAACGTCTGCACCTCGACTCCAACCGTCGACACGACCGAAATGTCTGCACACAACCGGAATGTCTGCACCACGACTCCAACCGTCAACACGACTGGAACGTCTGCACACAACTGGAATGTCTGCACCTCAACTCCAACCGTCGACACAACCAGAATGTCTGCACCTCGACTCCAACCGTCGACACAACCAGAATGTCTGCACCTCGACTCCAACCGTCGACACAACCAGAATGTCTGCACCTCAACTCCAACCGTCAACACAACTGAAACATCTGCACCTTGACTCCAACCGTCAAAATAACCAGAACATCTGCATCTCAACTCCAACCGACGACACGACCAGCCCGACCACCAATACCACGATTGGCAGACCAATATACCCCACTGGTTTCTTCTTTATATAATAAACTTAGCATTAATCATACATATCCTCGTTCTGTTGTCCATTTTGTTTCACTTTGTCAGATTTAACATCTTTAATACGAAAAACGTTAGTGGGCCTCTTGTGACCTCATCACTTACGATACAGGGGTGCTCCAGCCACGGTTTCATATCACGCCTCCCCTCCAGGGGGTCCTCTACACATATTTGAGTAGATGCTCCATTTATTTATTTAAACAGTATTTTATTTTCACCTACTGACCTGAATATTTAAGAAATCTTATTATTATATGGGTATCCACTAAAAATAATGTTTAAAGTGATAAAAATATGTCAAATTAATAAATAAATCCATTACTTCTTTAGAAATTGCTTTGTTTATGTTTCATGTACGAAACTGAGCAGTTATGAACTTTTGGAATCTAAAATGAATGTGCTTAAAGGCAGTATACAACCTTGCTTAATCGACAACACTCTTCATGGCCAAGTCAGTTAAAAACACATCGGATCTAACAACAATTTTCTTATAAAGAGGGATACAGGTTCAAATCCTAGTATAAATGCCTAGTATTGTGTAAGTTAAAACCACTTTATGACAGAGTGCAATAACTTGGTCTTAGTATTGATTCCATACGTGTTTGGAAAACCTCTTGAGAGTTTTTTTTTTCTTTACTAAAATTCGCCCAAACTCAGGAAACACTCCAGATAGAAGGTAACTAAATGTGGAGTGTGGTATGAATGTAAGAGGAGATTGTGAAAAGTGTAATGTTTAGGCGAGCATCTACA